GGGAGCTAGCTTCGCGTCTCCCTGGTCTGCTGGGGGGAAGCAGCGAGTGCAGGGTTGCCTCACCCCGTTTGTAAGTAGGGATCCGATGTAAGTCGGATCCATGTAACCCGGGGACTGCCTGTACTAAATGTATGCCAGCTATATTCTCCCTTTAGTACTATGATTTCTAGGGGGAATCTTTCACTCCTATAGCAACTTTTGTGAGGTAGCCTGCTGATGGTTCCTCTGCAAGTAGATTATTTTGGAGCATCTGCCAGTATGCAATTTAATGGATGCAGTGAACAAACACTGAACATGCACTTTCATCACAACAGACCAGAGGTTATTCAAGACCCAAAAAACATTGTCCTCATGACACTTTTCCTATCATACACGTGTTAAAAATTGTATTATAAACATCATCAGAAGGAACATGAGTTGACTATAAGGCAAGTAAATGTGAGTGCCTAAAAAGGTTGACAAGTCCCTTTTAAACAAACCAAGAGTTACGAGTTTACTGTATATTAATGAAAGCCTAAATTACCATAAAATCCCGAGAACAAAAAAAATTCTAGCCACCATTTTCACGGCTCTTTGCAATCATTAGAACAAGACTCATGAGGTGAAGACTCAAAAAAACAACATACTAAAAGACATCCCTAACAGCTACTCCAAAGAAGTCATCATATGCAACAACATGTATTATAAAGTTCTGTACATATGTATGCAAAAATGTTAAATTATAACATTCACATTTTATAATAGGATTGAACATCCTTTTGTTAAATAAAGCCTTGATTACAATTCCAATAGCTATAAAGAGTTATAAATTTTATAGTTTACATTATCAACAGTTGTGGAATTTTTATAGTATCAGTCTCAATTAAATACACAATCCTTAAAATAATTTTTAATAATTAAATCTGAAAAAATATTACTACTTAACAGAAAACAAAAAGTAGTAGGACTTGTCTATACTTGAAATGGAACACGAGCACAACAGCAGCATTAGAGCTAGGGATGTAAGAGACTAGTCGACTATCCGCTAAGCAGAAGCTTATTGGATAGTCAACTAGTAATGTGACTAGTCGCTTCCCCAACTCCCTTGCTGCCTCTATCAGAGAGAGGCAGCAAGGGAGGGGGAGCAGGAGCTTATGTTTAAAAGTCGGTTCCTCTCAGCACCATCTCCACGGGTGGCAGGGGAGATAAAGGCACAGCGGAAACAGTGCAAACGGGGATTGAAGCAGTCTCTGCTTGCACCACTTCTGCTGCGATTCTGTTTTTGAATCGTACAAGAGCCCCAGCTACTTGGGGAGGGAGGCAAAGAACTGGGGAGTAAAGGAAAGTGCAGCTTCTGCAAAGTAAAATGGTATCCCCCCCTTACATCTTCCCTCTGCTCCAGTCTCATTCCCCTCAGCACCATGATCACCCCCAGCCTGATCCCCTGCACCACCCCATGACCCTCAGTGCAATCCTTGGCCCCCTCCCATCCTCCTTCACCCCCCTGATACCCACACATCCCTGTGCCTCCAGCACACATACCAGCAGGGCAGCAGCACTGGGACTAGCAGCCCCCCCAGGAGCAGCGCTGGGGCAAGGAGAGGCAGGGGGGAGCAGAGTCTCTTCCCTGCCAGGCCCAGCCCTTTGCCAGCAGGTTGCAGCTCTAGGGTGGGGCTGGCAGAGCCCAGGGCTGGCTCCAGCCAGCCCAGGCTCCCGTGCACCATATGTGCCAGCCACCTAGCCCTGGCTCTGTGGAGCAGGCCCAGCCCCACCCTCTTCCGAAGCAGGAGGCAGTCCCAGGGACACATACGCATGCCTCTCCTGTCTTCCCTCCCCCAGCAGGAAGCGGGAGCTAGTACTCCAGCCTGCAGCTGTGCTGCTGATGCTGCAGTGCGCGAGAGATGGGCGGGGCTGAGCTCCTGCCCCACGTGCCAGTAAAAATCGGCTCACGTGTCGCTTGTGGCACCAACCCCTGAGCTAAATTAACAGAAGAATTATTCTGTCAACCTAGTGTTTTTTATACAGGAGGTTAGGTTGGCTTAACTATCTTGCTCATGGCTTTGGACTTTGAATACCCCTGAGTGACATAGCTGTGTTGACTTAACTTTTAGCTTAAACTGGGGTAGGGAATCTTTTTGGTTAGCAGCTACTGACCCACAGAAAAATCAGTCAAGGGCCACACACAAGTGAGAAGCAAAACAAAAACCACAAACCCTCACTACGTGGCTCCTGACTGAAAAGGAGAAAGACACTCCCATCATTGCCCTCACAATTAACCTAGGGGAGCCCAGGCTACTAGATTTTCTGTGTTCCAGCCTAGTCATGGAGGGGCTGGAGTGCCAGTATGGGCTTTCCAATGCTGGGAGAGAGGGAAGCCCTGAGGGAGGGAACCGGATCCAGGCAAGCTGGGAGCCACATATAATCCCAGGGCTTTAGGTTTCCCACCCCTGGTTTAGATGAGGCCTTAGAAAGGTGGCACCAGCAGTTGGTCTCCAAGAATCTTACCTCTTTTTTTTGGATCCTCCACCCAATAAAAGGAAAGATTGGGGAAAGCAGTGGATTTGAGCAACTTTTAACTTTTGGGGAGGGAGTTGGTAATGCAGAGGATAATGCAACCGCAACAAGACTAAGTATTTATGCAACATTCATATCAATAGGCAGCAGACCAGCTTGTTTTCAAATCCTTCCAAATTACATCACAGAAACTTTTAAACAAGTGAATTATCTTACCTGCTTTAGGTATATTTACTCTTTTCATTCCAGCAGCCTTATGCTCATTTTCTCCATTACATTTTTCCATGCAATTTATTTCTCCAAGAGATTCCACAGCCTGTGCAGAATTTATATTTAGACCACATATTCTAGAAAGAGCTCTTATGTGCCCAGAGCTACTCTGCTGTTTCTCTTCTACCTACAAAAACAGAAATTCAGGATAGAATTTTGTCAGCCCTTAATGCAAATGTGAAAAAATCTGTTTTTTTCCTTAAAAGATATAGTTATTTTTTATTTTTAGATATATTATAGAAAATATGTCAGACCTTCACAAAAATATTAAAATCTAAATTTCTCCTGTGGCCATTTTAAGACCATAAATAGGTACCAGTGGCAACCAAATGTTTAGTACCCGCTGCAATTTTTAAGTTTAATTATACAGCTCTGGATTAATCATCCCTTCTCTATGGTAACGTCACAAGTTACTTTCCTCCAAATTCTGTCCCCTTTACTTATAGTGAACAGTCCCATAGATTTGCAGTGGCACCAACTGAGAAGCAAAGTACTGGACTATTCATGAACAAGAATGGAAAAATTAAGCCTATACTTTGTTTGTTTGTATAGACAGAGACACAAATGCAATAAATAAATGAACTTTTACTATAAATGGATATCCACAGAAGCAGTAATATCTGAATTTGAAGCTTAAAATTAAAGATATACTAAAATGATGACATAGAATCATAGAATCATAGAATAATAGGACTGGAAGGGACCTCGAGAGGTCATCGAGTCCAGCCCCCCACCCTCAAGGCAGGATCAAGCTCCGTCTACACCATCCCTGACAGATGTCTATCTAACCTGTTCTTAAATATCTCCAGAGAGGGAGATTCCACCACCTCCCTTGGCAATTTATTCCAATATTTGACCACCCTGACAGTTAGGAATTTTTTCCTAATGTCCAATCTAAACCTCCCCTGCTGCACTTTAAGCCCATTACTCCTTGTCCTGTCCTCAGAAACCAAGAGGAACAAATTTTCGCCTTCCTCCTTGTGACACCCTTTTAGATATTTGAAAACCGCTATCATGTCCCCCCTTAATCTTCTTTTTTCCAAACTAAACAAGCCCAGTTCATGAAGCCTGGCTTCATAGGTCATGTTCTCTAAACCTTTAATCATTCTTGTCGCTCTTCTCTGTACCCTTTCCAATTTCTCCACATCTTTCTTGAAATGTGGCGCCCAGAACTGGACACAGTACTCCAGCTGAGGCCTAACTAGTGCAGAGTAGAGCGGCAGAATGACTTCACGAGTTTTGCTTACAACACACCTGTTGATACAACCTAGAATCATATTTGCTTTTTTTGCAACAGCATCACACTGTTGACTCATATTCAACTTGTGGTCCACTATGACCCCTAGATCCCTTTCCGCCATGCTCCTTCCTAGACAGTCGCTTCCCATCTTGTATGTATGGAACTGATTGTTCCTTCCTAAGTGGAGCACTTTGCATTTCTCTTTATTAAACTTCATCCTGTTTACCTCTGACCATTTCTCTAACTTGCTAAGGTCATTTTGAATTATGTCCCTATCCTCCAAAGAAGTTGCAACCCCACCCAGTTTGGTATCATCTGCAAACTTAATAAGCATACTCTCTATCCCAATATCTACATCATTGATGAAGATATTGAACAGTACGGGTCCCAAAACAGACCCTTGAGGAACTCCACTTGTTATCCCTTTCCAGCAGGATTTAGAACCGTTAACAACAACTCTCTGACTACGGTTATCCAGCCAATTATGCACCCATCTTATCGTGGCCCTATCTAAGTTATATTTGCCTAGTTTATCAATAAGAATATCATGCGAGACCATATCAAATGCCTTACTAAAGTCTAGGTATATAACATCCACCGCTTCTCCCTTATCCACAAGACTCGTTATCTTATCAAAGAAAGCTATCAGATTAGTTTGGCATGACTTGTTCTTCACAAACCCATGCTGGCTATTCCCTATCACTTTATTACCTTCCAAGTGTTTGCATATGATTTCCTTAATTACCTGCTCCATTATCTTCCCTGGGACAGACGTTAAACTTTTTTCAGACATACTGAACTTTTTTCTATATCAGAGGGCTTGCTGTCTTGTAGACACACTGTGACGCAGAGGCTACGTCTAGACTGCAAGCCTCTTTCAAAAGAGGCTTTTTCGAAAGATACTTTCGAAAAAGCTTGTTTCAAAAAAGAGCGTCTAGACTACAACCAGTACTTTTGAAAAAGCAAGCCGCTTTTTCGAAAGAGCACCTGGGCAGTCTGGGTGCTCTCTTTCAAAAAAGCACAGTTTGTATTACATAGCACCTTTTTTGAAAGAGCACTTTTGAAAAAAAAGGCTGTATTCCTCGTAAAACGAGGTTTTCCACAGTTGAAAAAATTGCCGCATTCTTTTGATTTACTTTCGAAAGAACGCGGCTGCAGTCTAAACGCAGGTAAAGATTTTTTTTTAAAAGGCCACTTTTTTCGAAAAATCCCTATAGTCTAGACTAGTCTCAGTGTATTGTCATTTTCAAATTACAGGCAGTCCCCGGGTTACGTACAAGATAGGGACTGTAGGTTTGTTCTTAAGTTGAATCTGTATGTAAGTCGGAACTGGCGTCCAGATTCTGACACTGCTGAAACTGACCGCCAGTTCTGACTTACATACAGAATCAACTTAAGAACCCCAGGCGTCCCCAAGTCAGCTGCTGCTGAAACTGATCAGCA